ATTATGTTACATTTTTAACAGTATTGTTAAAATATTCAAATTAAGTTTTCAATATGTGCTACAGATTTTTTCTACAGATCATTAATATCAGAAAGAGAATATTGTTGGATACGATTTTATAATTTATTCATGCTTATATTGATATGCGTATGGTTTCATGTTTATGAAAGTATAGTTGGTATCAGTACTGGTAGCATCATGTCCATAAAAGTACATTAAGCATACAAATGTATGCAGGCATATTAGGTATCAACAACAGATGCCCAAATGAATAGCACCAAAGCACTGGCATAAATTCCTGTAAGAGGATACAGAAGTCAGTTGTTCCATGGCAGATCCACAGTTCATTTTCCTAAACTAAATACGAGACTATTGGGCATATCTCAATGAACATATATAGACACTTGAGATGACCAAATTTATCAAGTAATATGCCAATCTTGCAGCATGAAATCAAAAATTGAGGATTTCCATCTCAAATCGTTATGCACGTTGAGTAAAATTGATCCACATAGATGACAAGAATGACTCGTATCATCCTATTTAAGAAGAGACAAATGACTCGTATCATCCAATTTAAGAAGAAACAGAAGCCAAACTTGGGATTACATAATAAAATTCATAATATTGAAGGTGCAAGTGAGCAAAAATTATTGACAATAACAGATGTCAAAGAAGTAAGATACTTCAACTTGATGGACAGAAAATAAATCCAGACTGCAAAGGCAAGGCCAGGAGTTACCTCGTAAGCGGTATGCGACACTAAGATTTTGCATGAATGGATAGACAAGAATTCTCTCTGATGAGGTGACACAGAATCCTATTAATCGCAAAAGATTTCGATGAACTGCTACACTTATGAGCTCAACTTCCCTCAGGAATGCCAACTCTCCACCAGGATTATGGTAGTCGGTTAGACGTTTTACAGCAACCTTTGTTTCGTCAGCAAGGATGCCTTTGTACACCTTCCCAAATCCCCCTTGTCCAAGAACAAGGTTTTCACTGAAATTGTCAGTCGCCACCTGCAACTCACGCCAAGAGAACCTCCTCAGTTGTCCAAAGGCAATCTTATATTCATCTTCACCTACAAGTGCAACATGAATTCAGATATAAATGCAATGCGCTCTTCTCATGCAAGGGATATCACCTCTGCTGGGTTGTTAGTTGTGCAATAAAATAAATATATTTGAGACTAATTCAGAATGGAGTAAATAATAACATGTAAAGTGAACAAGAAGCGGAATAGCTGAAGGGCCTACATTCCCTCGCAAAAACACACAAATGTTAAGAAGCATACTGAATTGTTCTATACACGTAGTAAAAGTCTCTAATATAGGTGAAGTTTGGAACCGTGCAGGAAATGAGCAATTGGCCCATTAGGGACAGTGGTAAATTTCTGAAAACTAATGAACCAAATGACAACAGACAATGTCTATTCTTGTTTATGAACAAGTGATCACTGTCCAAAAAGAAAGCAACACATGGGCATCGAGAATCAACAAAGCCATCCCATCAAAGTTCATTTTTTATCGAGACATGTAACTCTCAAATTTTCATGTTTGTGTTGACAAATAACTCTTAGCCTCCCAGGGTGTTGCACAAAAATTGAATATTGATGACATGATATAATGTTTCCATGAAATCTACAGCTTGATATATGTGAAAGATACCAGTATTTTTATCTCCTAATCTGCTATCTTGAGTCCTCCAAGTTCAAGGATTCATTTTCGACTTATTAGTGCAGAAGAAAATATAATGTTTCTAAAATATTTGAGAAATAAAAGGGTCCAATTTTAATTTTCTTTTTTTCCCCGCCTACCCCGCTTGGAAATGTTTTAAAAGGGAAAGAAATAAAATAAGAAGAGAACCACGTGAAATGAGAAGTGGCCATCAAAAAGCAACACTTGGTTACTCTCTCTCTACAAATCTCTACTTTCTCCGCTCGAAGTGGCTATATATTTTGAAAGGGTTTTTGAGGGGCTAAGGCATCTTGCATGAGCTCCTTCTCTCTCTCAAAAACCTTGCATGAGCTCCCTCTCTCTCTTCGAAAACCCCTCTCTCTCCTTGTGAGCTAGGTAAAGGGACGTGCTTCTCAACTTTGTAAGAGCGCTGGAGTGTCATGGGATAAATTATAATACCATGCTCCCTGATTCACTTTCTCTCCGTAGATTATTTCCTAACATTAATTTTGTATTTAAAATACTAGTTGAAGTTGGGGAAAAGGTTGCATTAGCAAGTAGAAAACTATAGGGCATTATTTTTGGTCGATTGAAATGATTTACACGGATTTTTGCTTTCGGTTGATTAGCACTCTTGGATGATGTTCACAAAAATCATAACCGGTTTTGGGTTTTGATTCTTTTGTGCATGACAAAGTTGTGATCTTAATGCATCATTTTTAGAGTTTTAATGAAATTTACGGCAAGCTGTAGTGACAGATTTTTATATTGAAAGATAATCTGCATGCCAATTGTTTGATGAATTTCCTGGTTGAGTTGAAATACAATTTATGTGGTAATATAGCACTATTTGCTATTTAAAAAACCAAAAGATCCAATGCAATAGGGCCAACACTTGACATCAAAGCTTAGGGGTTTTCAATTTGCATCAAAGAAGACAAATCCTAGAGCTACATTGGCTGATTTAGTAAAGGTTGATAAGTTTGATGCCCATAATTTCTAACTTTGGAAGACTAATGTATCTTAGTTGCTACATACTATGGATTTGTCCTATGTTATTGAAGAAGAAATCCACCTGAACTTCATGATAATTCAACACTTAGAGAAAAAACTAGTTAGTTAGATGACTACTATGGGTACTATTACATTAGATCTCAGGAGAACTACTAAAAAACAAAGAAACACAGTTACTTGAATAACTACTATGGGTATAACGTAGAATTTGATGATGAGTTTATAAGCTTTAACGAGATTATAAATTCAACTGAGGCATCCAGGAGGACTACTAGAGAAACAAAGAGATATAGTTACTTGGATGACTACTATAGGTATAATGTCGAATTGATGACGAGTCAATGAGCTTTAAAGATGTTATAAGTTCATTTGAGGCATTTAATTGGATGAAGGCAATACAAGATTAGTATAACTCATTAATAAAGAATGAGACATAGAGAGACAAGTGAGTTTTCGGTGACAATATGAAGAAGGGAAAACTTATCCTTATTTTTTATTTTTATGCAATTTCAAAGGATGTATATTATAGTTTTAGTTTTAAGGTTTATTTCTATGGTTTTTTAGCGTTTTAGGATTTTCAGTTTTATATTTTTTTTGCATATTTCATTAGTAATGGTCACAAGTACTATTCACGAGCATTATTCACGAGAACTGTTCACAGAGGTAAAACTGCCATTACGAATTTTAAGGTTGGTTAGGATATATGGGTCAATGTATTATTTGTTTGGACACTTTTTGTACTTAAAAACATTAAGTTATAATATATAAGAGGTTTGTGGAGCCTTGAGAGGGTCAATTCCACATGATTTTTAGACATTGAAAGAGAAAAAAACTTAAGCCTTTGCAACCCTAGTTTGGGGTGTGGAGAAGAAACACTAGGTTTCTTTGAATTGTACTTGTGTTTGGCTTTGTTTCTTGCTAATTTTACTGTTCCCTCAAAATTTTCAGGGAGCAGGTTTTTGATAATCAAGAAGCATAGGAGTACCAAATTGGGAAGGTGGCAATAAAAGAGGAAGAGGGAACCATAGATTGTTGTACTTGTTTAACAAATTTACAATATTCTTCTTTGGAAAGCACAACAAAGTCGCTAACAGAATTTGATTGTTGTTAAAAAACATTGGTTCCATTTAGATAAAGGTCATCACTCTCAAATGTGTAAGGGACTTGATTTACCCAAGCAGGCTTACGAACCTTGTCCTAACACTTATCAACCTTGTGATTTGTATACCCACAATAGTTCGTCAACCCCTACCACCATTACCTCTATCTTGGCCTCTTCCTAAGTCACGACCATGTCTCCATCCTCTGCCTCCGTCACCTCTCCTTGCAACTATATTCAATGCCAATCCATCGGTAATACATGAGTCAGAAAGAGTGGGAGGAGAACATATATTGACACGTTGGATTGGCACTTATTTGGGGTTCCATACTACTCTATAAGTAGGTCATGATTATGTAATTGTCTCTCATCCACTCTTTGTATCTACTATTAGATTTACTAGGCTTGTCCTCGGTCAAGTATTTTAGTTTTCTCCTTGTACCAAAGGACACTTCGACAAATTGAGCTCATACAACATAATTGGTCTTCCTTAATGTTACCGAGGTGACTTGTCTCCCCACAGTTTCAGAAAAACTAAAGATTCTAGGTCTCATTTCCTTATCCATGAGCATATAAGATAAAGGAGAACAAGGACAACAAGGATAAGCAAATTCCAATCAATACAATGTTGTGAACCACTTAAAAGGATAAAGATACTTATCATTCACGCATCAAGGAACAAAGATCCCTCTGCCTGAACTCACGGATGAACCCCACCAAACCTCCTACAGCTTCAGCCACACACTTTGAGACATTTCAGCAACTATTCCTCCACATCCAAGAGAAAAACTTTAGTAACACGAACATCCACAGCACCCACAGGCCACCATACTGGCTTTTCCTTTCCCCCCCCCCCTTTTTGAAAGGAAAAGAGAAGACAAACAGAAAAGAAAAGATGAAAGGAAAGGGGAAGAAAGGGAAAGATGAAAAGGTCAGTTTTGATATGCTCTTATACCATGTTAGAGAACCTAAAGAGAGAAAAGAGAAAAGAGAAAGAAGAGAAAGAAGAGAGATAGATATGATCATATGAGAGAGAGGAGAGAGTGAGGCATGAGAAACATGATAGAGGGAAGAGAGTGCCAAGAGGTCTGTGCGAGTATCACGCACTTCTCAAATTTACATATATTATTAAAAATATGAAAGGACAAAACTGGCCATATAAATAACAAAGGATACTTGAGTCCTAGAACTTAAATAACGAAGGACTTTTTACAATTCCAACTGTAAAAGCACCAGCCCATATTACCAACGCACAATAACAGAATCACCCTCACAAACAAAAGGCAATATCAAATTTATTCAAATGGATTATATGATAGCAGATACTATATGATACTAATAGTAAAATTTCATGGTTGGCCTACGTGAGATCATCTAAGACTTGGATTTCTAAAATAAACAATATCAAAAACTGGATATCCTCTTTGTGTATACGCATAAAAGGATCTCGGCACTAGAGGGTCATATCATGAATGATCATGTACAAAAAGATGATTCGGGTTATATAGGTCAAGGTCAAGGTCAAAATCACCAGTAGCAAACAACAACTTCCCAATAAATTCATATTATTATAGTTCTTCTGAAAACGGAGATAAGTAGGACAATCGAAATTTGTACCTGGCACATCAACAAAGATGTCATGTCTAAGATAATGTTCTCGTCGATTCCAGTAAATAAAGATAAAACCAATAGATAAAAGGATAAATGCACCTATTCCTGCACCCCCAACCACGACTGCCAAATTTGGCTTTCTAGCAGAATCTGCCAAAACATTAGTAAAGATACATTAAAAAAATAAAATAAAAAAATAAAAAAAAAGCTAAATCTTCCATAACATTGAGACATGACCATGTTTCTCTGTGTAAAACAAAAGAAGACAAAAAGATGTATCTAAACATCAAACCTAAGATTCGGGAGATTGAGACACAAGGAGTTTTTGAGTTTGATCCACAATCAAGATGGTTCCCTGAAAAACTGAAAGCAGAACACTAAAATGTTAAAGTGAAATCATTTGCTTCGAATATAGAAATCGAGCATGCAAATTGAAACACAAGAAATATCTTATTTTAAAAATTAATGCTGCAGAAATACATATCAAGGAACATCAAACATTTTGGAAATCAGTCTCTTCAAAAACACCAGATAATCTCATTGAATTACTGGAAATTCTTTATGCAAGTCTCACAATCACAAGAACTAGACAACGTCCCCCGTTGCATTAGCGTGTAAAGAAACAGAAAGTACATGAGATCTAGATGGCACACATAGCCACATTAAAGCAAATTACTGGTTTATAAGTTTCTGTTAGCATGAGCTGGATATGACAGCCATGCATGTGACATGCAGCCACATATAGCTACTATTTATGGCCACACCAACCCAACATAGCACACCACATAGGCACAAACTCGAATAAAACAGCACATGGCAGATTACACATACTGCCAGCATATGAATGCATGGATTGAAGTTTTATGTGTGTGAATGTGCACGTTTGTGCACGCGTCTTTGAGTGTAACTGAATTTGGCTTGGGAGGTTGGTGCATAGCTGGCAATAGGCACATGTAGAAGTTCAAATCACAATGACTCTAAAACTTGTACAACCTAGAAAGAAAGTCTCAAAATATTTTATAAGCTTGAAGGAAATTCAATAATGGCAAACTAATAAATGATCCTACAAAGGACATAATACACCCAATGAGATACTGAACCTGCAGTTTGAACGATGCACTTCCAAATGTCAAATCCAGGATTGTGCTGACGGAGCAAGGGAGACATGACCCTTGAAAATAACGAGTGCTTTAGGAATCATGACCCTTGAAATAAATTCAAGCAACAAAAAGGCACTGAAACCAAATAGAAGTGAGAATTTGCTTGCAAAGAACTATAAAAGGATGAGGCTCTAAAGTGATGGCCTAATATTATGGAATATGCTACACCAGTTTGTAAGGCCTAGCAAACTGATTCTGTCTAGGTTGATTGACTATTGGGAGTTGCAATAGATCACCTGAAGTTTCATCTGTTCAGAAGTTATCAAAGATGAAGTGCCAAAGCACGAGGTTGACACATAGATTAAAATTTATAGCACAAAGTCCATGGTGACTCTCTAGCAAACCAAGAAAGTTACGAGAATATTTTTCCCATAATATTATTACCTTTCCACTATGTTGAAGAATTCTTGGATGTTCAATATACAAGAAGCCTGCAAAGCTACTAAATTTGATTAAATTCTGCTCATGGACAACGAGAATTGACAAATAAACATTCCAAATGATAGATAAGGAAAACAAAAAGGATAAGGTACAATAGATCACTTGTGTTTTAGGGCTCCACAAGAGGGGTTATGGACAAAGAGAAGCCATTTCCTCTGATACCGTGTAAAAAAATGAAAACATGACCTGTTAAGTTTTGCACACAAGACTGTTTGCCAAGAGAACTTGAGCTTTAAGGGTGTAAAAGAGGAGTACTAGTTTTTCACAAGAACCCATACTGGTTTAATACCCTCTATAGAGTACAAATATCTGAATGAGAAGGGTTGATGCAGGGAGAAATCCCAACATAAAGTGAAAAGAGATGAGAGATTAAAAAAAATAAAAGAAGGAACCTTCATCACCGCCGGTTCTGAGATTTCTCAATAAACCTAGGTAAAACCTCCTGCAAGAGCGACAATAGAAGACCCAACATTGAAGCAACCCAAATGAGTTTTCTTTGTTGATTTAAACAAAATGCATCCCTCCCTTTTCAGATCATATAAATGGTTGTATATAAACTCCAATTCTGAATCTAGATGCTTCTAGATATTCCAAGCCAAGTGCGAACATTCGAAAACAAAACATAACTCTGAAATAAAAGACCAATAAACACTTTATAGTATAAACCATACATATAATTGACAACTCTACCAGTGATTCCAGGACGAGCAACCCAAGACTCCAATTCAAGCATTTTCATCTCCACTAAGGGTGCTGAGCTCTATAAATATAAGTGTGTTGTGCATGTACGTGTGCCTATTACAAATCTACCTATACAGGGATACATAAAAATAATCTGTAAGGAAATAGAAACAGCTATAGGCACATAAGAGTTTATACATTAACACTCGAGAATTGGAGACTTAGCAAGCACAGTGACACGGGGGAGTTTGTATCTAGCCAGCAAAGTATTTGAACTATGACTCTCTTGGATGAATGTGTGCTAAAAGACAAAATACATATGGCTTACTGGCAATTATAAGTTTAGTAGCTAAGTGTAAAAGATATTGGTGGCTCTGTGAAAACCCCGAAAGATCCACTGTTCTCTACCAAACACTAACGAGAATAAATGCCCAAAGCATTCAAGGTGAACAAGTGAGATGATTAGAGGATGGAACTGGTTGTTCCAAGAAGATATGCCAAAGCAAAAAATGTCAGCATGTACCTAGAGATTATTAGAGGTGGAAACCAATGTAAAAGAATATGAGAGTCAATTTCTTGCATATCTCATCTTCTAACAGCATGTGGCATAAAAACCTCATTTTGTGATCAAGATTCACCTAGTTGATCAATTCCAAGCATGCTGTGTTCTATTTTATGGATGAACGAATAAAGAGAGATTTTCTATACAACCATGGCTGATTCATCCACGTAATTGAAGGTCGGATGAGTAAATTTTAATCTTCATGACATCCCAAAAAAAAAAAACAAAGAAGTCTTGCCAAAATCGTGCATTACGTACACCATCAAATAAACAAAGAGAAGTTCATGTAAGTTTTGAAACTCACTTGAATTTATCAATTGAGAACAACTCATCAGGAATTTTTCCTTTCAAATTGTTGGAAGAAATGTCCCTGGGCACATGCAGAAAGAACTTTTAGGAGTACTGCAATAACACCTTCACCAATGATTTCCCAATTTCATCAGTAAATTCTCTATGAACAGGCATACACTTCCTTTAGTTCTGAAATATGTCCAAATGATGGGGGAATAATTCCGGTTAAGTTGTTGTTGCTTATCACCCTGCATAATGGCCAATAGTGCATTTAAAAAGTCAACTAAAATGCCATACAAAATCAACTGCAGGTTTGTAACAAAGAAGTGTGTCCTTTTCATCAAAAGAAGAGTACATGATTGAAAATGAAAAATATATGACCTAAATGCTGCAAAGAAAATAATGTCGAAATAGTCAACATTACAGCTTATAAAGCACTTCATTTTAGATGAAGTGGAAGAATGGCATGCGAGCTTACAATCGCTGGAGGTTCTTAAGTTGGCCCCATTGACTTGGCAAATATCCTCTGAAACTATTATTTGCCAAATTCAGGTTCCGGAGGCTCACCAAGTTGCCAAGATAATCAGGTAAAACACCAGATAAATGATTGTCTTGCAACTCCCTGCATGAAATAAAAGATAAGTAGGCAATTCTTCCAAAATCTAAACATAATTTACTGTGAATTGATAGTAAAATTCCTCAAGCTCCCCATGGCCAAAATAGTTTCTTCATAAATTAATAACTTTCATTTGTGTGAAGAGAATACTTCAGCAAGTTCCAACAACTACAAAACCATTCTTACTCCTAGCCATTAGTAAAAGATTCACTCTTACATAAGTAAAACTTGCATTCTCCACACTTTATAATAATCTCAAGACAATGCCTAAAACCATAGTTACCAAGATCACTTACTTTGGCAGGAGATCCATTCTAGAAGCTTGATCATAGAATTCTAGAAAGGGATATTCTAAGGATCCTGTTTTTTAGAATTTCGGATCTTGATCCTTGGAACATAAGGATGGAGTTCCTTAGATTTAATATTGTAAGAACGTCGATTTCCAGGCTCCTCAATCAAATTTTTCAGCTGATGAATCATATATGCAAATAGCCAGTTGCATTAATATGCAACACCATGAATGCACATGGTAGAGAACTATATAAAGTGGAAGAGACATCATTAAAAACCCATAGAAGGAGCTCGTAGTGGCTAGGCTGTGGTGCTATTCCCATCTAATTGAGGAACTTGATCATATCTAATTGGGGAGCTAAATCCCTAAAACATGGGGATTGAGTTCCTTAGATTTAATATTGTACAGACATCAATACCTATCATATGGAGCTTTTGGGTAGCCTTGATCCAATGATCCTACTTGACCCCACAACAATTCCCAATCCCATTGCCAACAACTATTCATCAAACTACAATAACATGGCGGAACTTGCGTAAGTAGGGTGCCACCGGGCTGCTTTCAAGCCGGCCTGAGCACAACCTGGGAAAAGCCTGAACAGTTGCAAACAGGCCCGACACGACCCAACCCAAAAATGTAGTTTTGGGCTTGACCCAGGCCCTACAGAAAAAGCTTAATTGAAGACCAAATCCGACCTGAATTTTCTTTTTCAAAAGTGTAAACCCTGGAAAAGGGCATTGGCAAGAGGTGTGGGGGCACATGGACACCTACCCACTGCATTTCTCTCCATGTCGCCCCCAGCCCCCACCCCACCACCTCTCTCTCTCTCTCTCTCTCTACCAAACGTCTCTATTTCTTCTTTTTCTTCTATCTCTCTCTCTCTCTCGCGCTA